ACACACACACACACACACACACTAGCCAGGCATGGTGGCGCATGCCTGTAGTCCCAGGTACTCGGGAGGCTGAGGCAGGAGGATCACTTGAGCCCAGGAGATTGAGGCTGCTGTGAGCTAGGTTGACGCCATGGCACTCACTGTAGCCTGGGCAACAAAGTGAGACCCTGTCTCAAAAAATAAATAAATAAATAATAAAATAAAAATAAAAAAACAAAACAAAAAAATAAGATGGATAAGAATCTATCAGTGATTATTTAGTGTATTCCTACTTGAAGTCACAGCCACAGACAGGATAATCTTCTAAGATTTCTAAAAATACTAATTCTATTTTCAAGCAGGATATGAACACATTGTGTAATGATCTGTGGTTGAAAATGAGATCTAGAACTTTTATAGATTCCACAAGTTTGCATAAGTTAATAATATCAAAAAATTAATAATACTTAAATGTAATCCAAATACAGAATAACCAAGCTCATTGTCATTCATAACCAGAAAATTTACCATGGGTGAAAATTAAAGCTTCTAAATCAATTATTTTTTTTTTACAATTATCCTTTCATTTTAAATAATGTTAGCTTTGAGTCCACTTTGAAGTATAGATTTGGTGAAAGTTTAAAATATTAAAAACATATATAAACTGTACCGGTTTTAACTTGGTAGATCTAAGAACTGAAACAAGATGGTTATATTTTAGTACAAATAACGGATTACATTGCCAAAGAATTAATCACAACATTATTCATGTTTCTCAACTCTAAACCTAACAAAAATAGCACAGGTAAAGGTGCCAAGGAATCAGCTCCCCACAAAACCCAGAATTCTTTTTACCTCAGTCTGTAGGATAGCAGCCCTTTGTTCCTTAGCAGTCAAGGACTCCTTCAGTACTTCAATGTGCTGCTTACTGTCTGAGAACTGGTTTGTGAGTGTTTCTAGCTTTGTCTGCAGGGCTAGTAGTTCTGTGTCTTTCCTGGACAGCTCCTGTTTCACCTGGCCAATCTAGAAAAGAAAGTAAAACACTGTAAGAAAAAAAAAAAAATGAAACAACCACCTTCGATCTGGATATCTGATAGATCTGAGTCACAAGGTATGAAATTAAATGCAGCATTAATTGTGTGATAGGACATATTCACCTTTTCGTATTGTCCAATCTTGGATACCACACCCTGCCTCCCAAAAAACTTATTCAACATATAGTTTTCGTTTATTGTGTCTTCTAAATATTCTCTTAAACCCTTTAGAAAGGGAATGGAGGGTAAGAAAATTCCAATTCAATTAGATGACTATGAGATAGCAGAAAGCAACTGAGCACCACTATACTGATAAGAACAGTTTTCATTTTTTTAAGTCATACCTCTTTAGAACATGATGGAATGCAGGATTAATGCGATACAGTACAGAAGGAAAAAAAGAAACCTCCTAGTACTACTATTTAAAGCAAATTTAAAAGCTGCTGCTCTTGTGTTTATTTTTTCATAATAGTTATATTTTTCATTCTCAAAGTCTACATAGACTCCTTATCTTAAAAAACTACTTTTAGTGCTTTTGAAAATTCCTGTAATTTTGATATGTGTACTGACTTAAAAAAAAGATTCTACCCTCAAAGTTCTATCTTCTACAACATTCATACCAACTAAATGGATAAAAGTATGTGACCTAAAGAGAGCATAAAACTTCATTCTGTAAGAATCTATATGCGTAATTTCAAATTCATTACTCTGAAAGGGCAATCTATAAATCAAATGGATGCCATTCATCCTCCCGAAATTTCTCTCTTAACACAGAAACTTTTATTTCAAACATCTCCTTTACTTTCTACTGTTTCTAGTAATTTTAAAAATAGTCTTTTACTCTAAATGTAAGCCAAATAAACAGAAATCAGATCTGCTTTTACATTATGTCTATCACTTAGCAAGAAACTAAAAGATTTTATTAATAAGTATAAATTTGACAAGAAGTCAGTAATTTCAGTATCACTGATGAAACAAAGAATACTTTTTTACTGTTTAAAAACTAAATGTATGTGAAGTATTTTAATTATAATCATCTTAGATATAAGGGATAGAGCTTTGAGAACAATTTGCCATGAAGAAATAAACTTTAAGTAAAATTAGATTTTTAAGGAGCACCAAATTTCCAATTTAGTCTTCTGTTTCAATGAAAAAATATGCATTTCTCTCATATGTATGAAATCTCTTGTTTACAGATATAGTTATTCGTTCATTCAATAAATATTTCTGTATGTTTATTGTATATAAATAAAGTACTTGAGAAGACTAAGACACCAGTGGAAGATAATATTTTTTTTTTTTTTGAGACACAGTCTCACTCTGTTGCCTGGGCTAGAGTGCCGTGGCATCAGCCTAGCTCACAACAACCTCAAACTCCTGGGCTCAAGCAATCCTCCTGCCTCAGCCTCCCGAGTAGCTGGGACTACATACATGCACCACCATGCCTGGCTAATTTTTTCTCTACATATTTTTAGTTGGCCAATTAATTTATTTCTATTTTCAGTACAGACAGGGGTCTCGCTGTTGCTCAGGCTGGTTTCGAACTCCTGACCTCGAGCAATCCATCCAGGCCTCCCAGAGTGCTAGGATTACAGGCGTGAGCCACTGCGGCTGGTGAATGGAAGATAATTTTAAGTGGCAGCGATTTTCATCCTGTAAAACATACAAGTGCCCAGGAGTGATCACATACTGTAATGTCTTTCCTGATATCCCTTTACCAATAAAAAATGCACATCAGTATTACTCTATCCCTAACACACAGACTGTACTAAAAACACATCTGTTGTATGAATGAATATTCAGGAAAAGTGTTCAAAGTGTTTCCACTTTCTCTGCTAAAGAAATATGGCTTAATGATTATTCAAACTTCAGCTATCTCCAATCATATAATCAAAGTAAATATATCTGTTTCCTCATCATCTACATTATTAAATAAGCTTCAAATAATGCTATATTGATCTTAAAGACTGGGGAAGAAAATATTTTAAATGAAAAGCAGAGTTTAGAAGCACAAATTTTCCTTAAAGACTGAGAAGGGGAGAGAATATTATAAATGGGAAGCAGCTTAGGAGCCACAGTTTAGCAGTCAATCACATATTAAGCTGAGCTAGTTATGTGTCTCTGAGCAATCACTTTACCTCTCTAAGCCTTGGTTTCCTATTCAGTAATATGGAGAAATTATACTAATGGGGGATTCAAAAAATAAAGTATGAAACGTGCTTAGCCTGTTATCTAATACAACACAGAAATGAATAATGGTAGCTATGAAAAAAAGTAAGTTGTAGATCAACTTCTATAGACAATACATGGTTCCCATAAACTAAATTAGACCCTTTCCACCAAAATATTTCACTTTTTTTGTATGCTATAAAGTGGACCATAAATCACAAACATACCAAATTAGCACAAGTTTGGAGGGTTTTTAAATACTACATTCCAGTCTTAGCCCATAATTATTTTGAGAAGCAGTTTTTCCTAACACTTTGACAAATGTGTACACAGCCTATATAGGGCAGTGTAGTGAAGAGCTTATGAGCACAGTTTCTAGAATGAGAATGCTTGTATAAAACCAAACCCTGCCTCTTACTAGCTGTGTTTTACTGGGTACCATTCTGTTACCTCAGTTTCCTTACCTACAGTTTGGGGGTTGATAATATACCTAACTCAGCAGGCTATAAAATGCTTATAGTAAGTATGCAAGTGTTAGCTATTTTATTATTACAGTAGTTCCTCGGTATCCATGTGGGATTGGCTCCTGGACCGCCCTTGGATACCAAAATTCATGAATGCTCAAGTCCCCAATATAAAATGGTGTAGTAATTGCATATAGCCTATTCACATCATCTCGTACACTTTAAGTCATCTCTAGACTATGTATAATACCTAATATAATGCAAGTACTATGTAAACAGCTGTTATGCTTTATTATTTAGGGAATACTGATAACGGGGAAAAAAGTCTGGACATGTTCAGTACAGACACAACCATCCATTTGTTTGTTTGTTTTCCCTTCAAATAAAAAACATTTGGTGAATCCATGGATGTGAAACCCTCAGATATGGAAACTATATTTATTATCTTATGATTATATTTTGAAATGAAATTTTAAGTTCATCACAAGATTTAGATACTTGAAATAAGTCTCTTACTATTTTAATATACTAGCTAACTCTAAATATACATCTGTCCTAAAGAAAGTAACATTTGTGGGAAAATCACCTGCTGGGAGACTTAATGTCTACATAAGGTAAAGCACTTTACTCAAAAACTTCAAATTCAAATAAACTCTAGGCAATGGGGCTAGCACATCTGCATATTTCCATACCTAAGAAGAAAAAAACGACCACCATTCATATAAATCAACAATCTAACAATAAGGGGTTGGAAAAAAACAAGCTTTGAAATACCATCCATAGAATGACAAAAACAACAATAAAGAACCAGGCATAGGGCTTCTAGAACACATGAAGGCTCACTGCACACAAAGTGACATATGGGTCAAACTGGTGAACAGGAGTCAGTTAAAGAGCAGAGCAGGCTGGTTAGTGCTAGTAATGGGCAGAGCTGCCAACCACAGAGAATGAAAGTGTAAGCCACCCAGAAGCCAGAGTTGGCAGGGTCCCACTGTGAGATCACTGCACACAAAGAGGTAAATCTTACGGCAAAGACCTCGGCCTGAAGACCAGCCGCTCTCTTTTTCAGCTCCTCCCCTTGAGCCTCTTTCGAACTTAGTTCCTCCTTCAGTTGCTCTACCTGTCACGACATTGTTATTCTTTTTCACTTAAATGTCAGCTTAGGTCTTCTTATTATCTGCTTTTGAGCCAGAGAGGTAACTGGAAATAACAATAACTTATGTAACACAATCAAATCTGTTCAAAGAGCCATAGATGATAATTCTTTTTTTCCAAAAAAAAAAAAAAAACAGGAGCCAGAGATGATTTCTATATTTTCACAGTGTTTTTTATAAAATGGACTAGAATATGCTAATCAACAAATGGCAACCATAAACATAGATTTTATATTGCCATATATTTTATTCTCAAATTAGGGTGAAAAATCCAAACTACAGAAAGTTGTATATGTGACTTTTGAAGTTCCAAAATTAACAGGAAATTAGTAGAAATCATTGATAACAGATTCTTAATGTAGTAGAGGAATATTCTATAGACTTATATGCCAGGTCTGGGTACCAACAGCAAGAAGGCAGACACGGGAGAAGAAGTTAAGATTCTCATTCCTTTATACCAAGGGTCCTCAAACTTTGTAAACAGGGGGCCAGTTCACTGTCCCTCAGACCACTGGAGGGCCAGACGATAGTTTAAGAAAAACAATGAACAAATTCCTATGCACACGGTATATATCTTATTTTGAAGTAAAAAAACAAATGGGCAAAAATACCTGCATGGGGCCTGCAGGCCGTAGTTTGAGGACGCCTGCTTTATACTATCAGGAATGTTTCAGTTTTCAGTTCTAAGAAACTGGAGAATATGATTGGGAAATAATGGTGGAAACACTTATTTTCTGGCTAAAATTTTATAATTAAAATCATGATTTTTAACTAAACCACAATAAAACTGATAAATTGGTAACTGTAATAAACTAAATCCTCCAATTTGCCTTATAGAATCAAACTAAATGACTCTGGATCCAAGAGAGGAAGGTGTGACTGACTCCGTACACACAGACTACTGGGTCTCAGTGGTGTCTTACCACGTATGTGCCTGAAGCACACATTGGCAGCAATAAGCCTGGGAGCACACGGACCATTCCCAGGGGAATGGAAAGGGCTTTCCTTTATGGAACTGTTTCTGAAGGGGAAACATGATTTTATTTAGCCCATTTTGGAAAATAGCGAGGTGGAGGGGAGGAGGGGGGCTAGGGGGCCTGGATTCAGCCTCCTAGGGTTTTGAATTTTAAAATCCTTATAAGGGGTAAAGAACTTGATGTCTCATAGTGAGAGAAACTCATGTGGTTATAATTCTATTAAATGACCTCAGAAGTACAGAGAGATAAGAAAAGCTAAACTGTGACAATATATATGCAGCCTCATACAGGCAATTCTCCTTTAGTAAAAATTTATAACGACTATCTGACGTCAGTAATTCTGACTCTTTTTGGAAACGTTCCATTTGGAAGAACTGTGTTGGAAATATTTTTCCCTGAAGTCTGACAAAACAGTGTAAGTAGATCTTTATTATCACTAAGGATGTAAAAAGTATACATCAATTTTTTCACACCCCTTTTAAGAATTAAAGTATTGCACACCATTACCTTATTTTTCATAAATTTAGAATGGCTTCGGTACACCTCCATTTGTTTCATTTCTTCCTCCCGTTCTTCAGTACTCAATGCCCCATTTGATTTCAGCATCTGAATTTCCTCTTCTAGGTCTCGGAGCCCACGCTCCATAGAGGAAATTTTTGAATCCTGAGGACAATGGAAGATTTAGTGATTAAAGAAATCACAAAAACCCAGAGAAGCTGAATAACTTAATCTTTAAAGATGTTAAATTTAACAAATATAAAAAAATACACAGAAAAATTGCTGCCTTGCTTCTAAAACACATGTTTTACAGCCATGTGGGTGGGAGGAGGACTCTTACCTATAATATGATTTTCCCTCTCCCTCCGCCTCCAGTTATGCATCTTTCAATTAAAGCTGAAATAATTAACCAAAGACGTAGAAGTAATGGAAAACCAATTGTAGTTTTCTTTGCACCAGAAACTACAAATTTCTAGTGAAAAAAGTCTTTTCTAGTTCTAATATTTTATCATTTTACTTGGTAACCCCTAAAAGGCGTATTTCTGCCCCAAAGAGGGAAAAAGTAAGAGGGTTTCAAATATTTGTACTATAATGTATGTAGCTATATTTACAATAAAAATTGTATAACATCCCATTGCAGAAAAACAAAGAAATGAATAATTATATTAAGTTATTTTTTATCATATTAGAAATCTTTTCTCCATACTTCTCCATGCATTTAAAATAATTCATAATAATTTTTAAATCACTGTTCTTTTAAATCATTATTACCACAAATATCACCTTCTAGAACATTCTCTTATTTTCAATTTCTTGATTTTGTTTGTCACAGTATCTAGCGTATCCCCAGTTTTTTGATGACTGTTTTAAATGTCATCAATTATTCCTACATGGAATGAATGGTTTTATATATCTGCAGTTGCATATGCTTATTCACCTAAGAAATAGAGACCTTAAAGAGCATACATTCAATATGGCTTTACTTTACTTGGAGTTTTAGAGAAACCATTCCTTTGGGAAGCAATGTTGACATTGACTTCCTTTTCCACCTCTCCTCAAGGATTTCTTGATTGACTTTCCTTGCTATCATAATTCCTAGAGCATGAAGATGAAACAATTTAAAGATTCATCATGAAAAAACTTCACCTAGCCATTTTCAGAACAAGGGAAGGGGAAAAGTAGGGGATGTACTCCTCTGTCTTGCTCATCACATTACCTTTAAAAATATCACAACAAAAATTTCCTTTTACAAACCTATTCAAATTAAACTTATATTTTGTTCAAAATCAAATGTATTAAATTACTACCACCAGAGACATTCTAAAACTTAATCAGGATTTTGATTTACTCATTTAAAATTAGTATGTGTCATGCCATCTACTGACCCATAAAGAGTACTATTTCAATTGCACTATCTGAAAATCTTAAAATATTGCTATAAATTTATCTGAAATATCCCTTAAAAATGACTAAAATACCAAGCATATGCACGTGACTAACCTGCACATGGAAGAACACAAAATACAGGTTCTCCTCTGATATCAGCCTAGGTAGTAATGAACGGGACCAGCGGAATGGATGAAGCAGGGCCTCCCCGGCAAGGCAATATAGCCCCCAGTTACGAACTCCAGCTCTGCACATCAAGTGGCAGCCTCTACCTATACAGGGCCTCTACAAAGCCTCCTCGAGGGCCTTGCCAAAAAATATTATCCATCTTCTCCCCACCCTCAACACTGATAAAGGCAGCACTTGACAAATCAGCACCCTCACTACCAAATCATGCACCATAAAAGCTTCTCCCCAAAAAGGGATAGTGATTGCAGCTCTGAAAACCAGGAAGCAGGCTCTGACTGCCCAGAAAAAGAACCTACCAAGCTACTCTCTGAAATCAGGCCAGAAAAATGAATGCTTGATACTCTCAACTAATTCTAGCATCAACCCAACTGGCACCAAGGGCTGAGTTTGAGAAGAGTCATTCCAACCAGGTCTCTTACTCCTGTAATGTGTAATAATGAAATAAATAAATTCCTTTTCACCTTACTACTGTGTACTTCTCCAGCCCTAGCACTCCCATCATTGATCAACCAATCACACTGGGCTTACTGAAATTCTCTGCTCCCTGTTAAATCCCCCAAAGCCTCAACCATTTTTCAAAGATTGTCTGCTGCCCCGAGTAAAACCTGGCTTTCCTATACGTGAATTCTCCCCAGCAAAGGCCAGTAATCCCCCAGCACCACAAAGAAACAGGGGAAAGGGGAGGAGTTCTCCTGGCTCCTCCATGCTGCGTTCCTTATGGAAAGCTCACGCACTTCCTTTTATTCCACCCTCCTCATGTCTGCCATCTAGGGACTGCTCAATCACTCCTGTCCACTTTTTTAAGTCTTTGGCACCTGCCTCACAATTGCCAGTCTTACCATCATCCTAAGATTTCAACATCAGAATTCCTTGACATCCTTAATTCCAGTGACCTCATCCTCTAGTCCTTTTCAGCTATCCTGTTTATAGGACTATACTATGGATCCCATCATCACTCAGGACTCTCTTCCAGGCCTGTCACACCCTCACTCTGATTATCTCCTGTTCTTCAACCTCACTTCCCTGACATTTACATTTTCTCCCAACCTATCAGTCTATCTGAATTTTCTTTCTTCCATATCAAGGTACATTCCAATACTGAATGTCCAAACTACTCTGCCATCACCCTCGATTCATTTGCATCCCAATCATTCTATCTACGCAGCAAAATGCTACCCCTACAGCAGTATAGTCATTTTTCCCTGCTCCTCAACTGCTAAAGGAAAAACAAAAAGAAGCTGAGAAAGAGGAGAACAAGAAAGAGGGAAAGAGTGGGAGAGGGGGAAAGGATGGAAGAGGGGAAGACGGTAGGAGAAAGTGTGAAGCCTCAGGCTAAGTGCTTTCTTTTAGCTTATGTATATTGCTTGTTTTCAGGAAGTTGGTTTGAGTGGGCTGATCACAGTAAATTCTGGGATGAAACAAAAGGGCAAGCGCATGGGCACAAGGGGCCAACCAATCAATGTAAAGGCCAAGCACGTGGGCAGGTTCTACACGTAGGGCATAAAGGGCTCCGTCCCACAGTACGCAGGGTCCTTGTCCGAATAGAGGCCGCCGTATTGGTGCTCTGGGACTTGGACCCTAGCTCAAGCTAGTAAGTAAAACTCCTTTTGATGATTTCAGCCTCAGTGACCCTGTCTCTTTGTTCTGTGGTCCTGCAGTTTCCTGCTCTAACAAAAGGACGAGGAGGAAGAGGAGGGAGAAAAGAAAACTGTATAACCATGAAGATTACAAGGCTCTTTCATTGTCTGTCAATCATCTTCTCTTCCTATTTCCCCAAAGACTATTCTTGATCTTCACACGTCTCTCAAGCTCATGCCACATTCTCAGCACCTCAGCTATTTCAGTTCTGACTTCAGCATAACATCCACCTGAGTCCACTGGGCCACCAGAATCTCTTGCTTTCTTGCAGAAAAGCTTAAGGTTAACACAACTTAAAATAGATCCACTGCCAATTAATATTATTACACTGCCCCATTCTGTTAAAAACTGAATACACAAATAATTTTGTGAACATGGGTACATCATTCATATGTTTTATTTTTCGGTATCAATAGGGATCAGGAAATAACACATATAAATAAACTTGTGGTAAGTGTGACTAAAGCAAAACCATGCAATTAAAACATTCTAAAGGTCCTTTATAAGATTATATTCAAGATTACTAATTAACTAAGAAAAACCCAGAATCCACTAATTTGGAATTTGTTAAATCCTTTCCCCAGGGATAAACATGTATACAATATAAATAAAGCTTTAAGAGGAAACCAAACAAATTAAGAGAACAGTTTTCATAACTATTTGAGAAGCATCTTATTTTTATTATTTATATATCAGTAATTATTCTTATCATATCAACAAATATTAAATGAAAGCCCACAATGCAAAACATAGTGCCAAGCTTTTTAGGGATATGTAGAAGTTGTGGGGGTCCATATTTATAAGAGCTTTTATAAGAAACAACATGTTAAAAAAATAATAATAGCAATAACTAATATGGATTGAATGTTTACTATACACCAGGCCCTGTTCAAAGTGTTTTACATGTTTTAAGTAATTTAAACGTCAAAACAACCCACTGGGTGGGTATTATTACCACCATTTATCAATAAAGAAATTGAGGCATAAGGGGGTTAGGTAACTTGCTCAATGACACATAAAAGTGAAGCCACATTTTGAATCCAGGGAGTTTAACTTAGAAAACAAGCTCTTTAATCACCATATTGTATATCGTAAAGATTCCTAACTATTCATTAACTTAATTTCATGGAACCCTGGGGGTCCCTTAGACTCTTTCACAAAGTCTACATGGTCAAAATTATTTTCCTAATAATACCAGGATATCACTGGACTTTTCTACAGTGTCGACATTGCACTAAAAGCAAAGGTGGACAAAACTACCCACTAAAAGCAAAGGTGGGTAATAAGTACCTTAGCACAGATCAGGGCAATGGCAAAGAACTATACTAGTCATACTCTTCAGTGTCAGGCACTTATAGTGAAAAAAGTGAAAAATAAATATTTAATAAGAAAACTCTTTTTAAAAGACTGCTTCACTTAAGAATTCTTTGAGGAAGCAGTAAAAAAAGTTATTACTTTTAATAAATCTCAATCCTCAAGTACACATCTTTTTAATATTTTGTGTGATGAAATAGGAAGGAAGTAGGCATGAAGCACATCTGCTGCATACTAAAGTATGAAGGTCGTCCCTGGGAACAGTATTTGCATGTTGCTTTGGGTTGAAAGCTGAATCTGGTACTTTTTTATGGAACACTATTTTTACTTGGAAGAATAACTGACAAACTGCGGTTACTTGGATTTGGTATTTGGCACACATTTATTTTCTTAAAAATGAAGGAAGTGAGCCTGTCATTTTAAGAGAGTAAAGGGGCCCTGAGATTAAGAAGTTTGAGAACAGCTGATTTAAAGAATTTCTGGACAACCCTTTTTAGTCCAATCTGAATTACAGTCATTAAAAGGAAATGAAATTCAAATTATTTTAAGATGTCATTTTCATTAAGTCTTACTCTTACTCTCAATCTGTAAAACGAGTGAAATATTATTACATACCATTTTCTAAAACTCGCACATGAAAGTGTTTAATCACTCAAAAGTGTAAAATGATTCATAAGATTCTTTATAGATTCTCACTTACCTTCATCTCAATAACAGTTTGTAGAGCTTTTGTTTTGGCAGAATCAGGGGCATTCTCAAATCTCCGATGCATTTCCTATAGAAGAAAAGCAAAAAGAGAGTAAGTGCCCTCCTCATTCTTTTTTTTTTTTTTTTTTTTTTTTTTTTGAGAGCTTCACTTTTCTTCGGGCGCGAGTGCCGTGGCGTCAGCCTAGCTCACAGCAACCTCAAACTCCTGGGTTCAAGCGATCCTCCTGCCTCTGCCTCCCAAGCAGCTGGGACTACAGGCATGCGCCACCATGCCCGGCTAATTTTTTCTATATATATTAGTTGGCCAATTAATTTCTTTCTATATATAGTAGAGACGGGGTCTTGCTCTTGCTCAGGCTGGTTTCGAACTCCTGACCTCGAGCAATCTGCCCGCCTCGGCCTCCTGGAGTGCTAGGATTACACGCGTGAGCCACCACGCCTGGCCCTCACTCTCATTTTTTTAAAAGGGGAGGTGAGGGAGAATAGTCATATGCAAGTATCTCCAGCTTTGTGAGATATTCTGACCCCTTTCTGTGTAACCAACCTCTCGCAGTGGATCAGGGAATCCACAAATTGCATTCAGGCTAATTCAACCATGTACTTGTAGGAGGGTCCCTGCCTCTGAACACCTACTTATTTAAAATTAGTCACACAGATGCCAGCTACTTACAACAGTTGAAACTACAGCACATCCCCAGGCTAGTATGTCAATCTTCCACATGACTTCAAGATATAATCAGAACTCCAAATGGTCTAAAAATGGGATCGGAAATGCTTCCTTTTTAAAAGGAGAAATAAAAGCCATCACAATCAGTCTGCACTGCACAAAGCTACTGAAAGCGTGTGTATTGACAACATCCTTTCCACAGCATTCACCCCTATAGGAACAACCACCTAGGTACCTAGGAAGAAAATCTCTCTCCAGTGGAGCCATAGGGAGAAAAACATGAGACTGTTGAACAAGTTTTCTAAGTACTTTAGGTTTAGACAACATCAGAAAAACAGAGCTCTTTTTTTTTAAACCCAAAATCCAGTGAATTCAGGGCAGGAGAGGGAGGAGATATTATCCTGAAGCTATCAGACCACCTCAAGCAATGCTTTTGTTTTGTTTTGTTTTGTTTTTCCCAGAATATTACAGGGGTAAACACGTTTTTGGTTATGTAATTTGCTTTTGTACAGTTTGAGTCAAAGTTGTAAGTGTGCCCTTCACCAAGATAGTGTGCACTGTACACCTTAGGTGTGAATTTACTCATCCCCACCTCTCTCCCCCACCTACTTGATTTCCATTGAGTTTTACTTCCTTATGTACACATAAGTGTTGATTGATTAGTTCATGAAATGTTCCTGTCAGAGTCTGCAAATGTCTCTGAGTCAGCACTCCTAAAGTATCCTGGGGACAGGCTCTAGTGGCCCAAGGGAATGCAAAGATAAATACTTTCCATCTGAACAATGCTTAAGCATAATAAAAGGAATATATAACACAATACTTTAATTATACTATACCTTTCACCTAATTTATTTTTTCTTGCCTGACCAGGAAGCATGGTTTGAGAGAAATAGAAAATATAACTATAAACTTCATTGAGTTGCCTTTTCTTAAAAGAGTAGTCCTAATGAACTGATAAGAGTTCTAAATTAAAAACAGTGAACAGTGGAAACACCAGTAATTTCAGAACACCCACACTCCCTATCTGGCTGTTAATACCACAGCACAAACCATTAATACACACTCCCCCTTCTGCTACCTCTCTCCCTACCTCCAGCCTTAACTATCTAACTAGGTATCCCACTTGTACATCAACAAACACTGCAAACTACGTGTGCAACTCTTAACTCCCAATGGTGCCCCCAAACCTGCTCTGGCCTTCCAGTGACTCCGGCCAGAAGCCTGTCAGTTTTCCTAATGCCTTCCTTTCTCTGTCAAGCCACAGTCAAGAAATGCTGTTAAGTCTAGGTTCAAAACATACCCAAAACCCAAGCACTCCTTGCCATCTCCACTGCTCCTCACTGGTGTAAGCCACTAAACAAAAACATACCTTTAATCTATTTAATACAACTGCCTACTACTAACTGAGCCCCCTCATCTTGCTCTCTACAATCTACTCCCAGTAGAGCACTTAGAGTGACCCCTCTTAAACATAAACTTGATCTTGTCACTCCACTCCTCTGCAGAAAACCCTGTAGTGGCTCCCCGTTCAACTCAAAGTAGTCTACAAGACCTCATCCCTTCTCACCCTCCCCTCAGTTACCATGATCCAGGCACATTGTACCCCTTGCTGCCCCTCAAACACACTGGGCATGCTCAGTTTCTGAAGATCTTTGCCTCAGCATCTTCTTCTTAGTCTTGGCTCAAATGTCTCCTCTGTGTTATTAAGTTTATTAATTGTGATGATGATAATAATAATAATAATAATCATAGTTACACAAGAAAATGCCCTTATATGTTAGAGATGCATACTAAAGTCTGTAGAGTTCATAAGGGAAACCCTCATCTGTTATTTGGTGAATCAGACACCGGAGACCTCCCACATTCATGGAAGACCCACATCAGCATAATACTAACCTGTTTCCTGGCCCATCAACTAGTCTATTGCCTGGCATCAGCATAACACTAAATCTATTGCCCGGTGCATCAACATAATATTAACCTATTGCCAACATATCAACTAACCTACACCTGGCACCCCACCCCTCGGACCACCCTAACTTAATAAAAGTGGGAAAATTTGGGTAGAGGGAGCTCAGAATTTGGTGGCAAGAGCCCTCTAAGCCCACCAGGGAAATAAACTTTGATTTTCCATGTGCTGCTGGGTTTGTCCTAGGGACAACCTGCTATAACACTTGCTGTAACAGGGTAAAATTATATGATGTCAGAAATCTGCTTTAAAATCTCTGGCAAAGAAAAGAGGAAAAAGAAAAAAGGATGCACGAAGAAAGTGTGGCAAAATTTTGGCAACTGGTGTATCTGAGTGATAAGTATATGGAGGCTCATTATACTGTTCTCACTACTTCCGTGCAGGTTTGAAATTTTTTAGAACAAAATCAACCCTTTGCATTCGGATGTCAAGTGTGACTCGAGACGGTTAGCAAAAATTATACAGATTAAAATTACTTTTTGAATGTATCAATAATTTGAAATATAAAATAATTCAAATAAATAAGTTTGTATGAAAAGAAACTCCAGTTTTTTATTCAACTGCTGCACTTTGTAAAATTTGGGGTATTTAAAAAATTAAATCCTGAGTAGAATAAAGGAATTGAGAAAAAAGCAAGCAAGTGCAAAGGGTTAATGTTCAATGTTCTCAGTATTAATATACCCTATTTTAAAATTTAACACTGACAAAAAAGAACCCACATGTCCTTTCCCCTTGACCTTCCTCTAATTTTTCTTTTTTCTATATATAGCACTTATTATCTGAAAAACTATATGGCTTATTAATTATGTGTATTGTTTATTTTCTGTTTTCCTTTAGAAGACCATAAGGGCCAGGATCTTTGTTTTATTCATTCACCGAGGGATCCAAAGTGCCTAGAATAAACAGCAGCTGCCACACTGGTATGTGAAAGGGGCAGCCTTACAAAAGTAATTGGAAAATACCTAATCCTACAGTTTTCCCAGTAACAGTTAAAGATCAATTCTGTGAGTTCTCTCACTAACAGGTACCCTGAAGGAGTTCTGTTTTTTGCACAACTTCTGAAAAGAGCTGAATGGATGGAAAATAGATGTCAATCTCTGTCTTTCAAAATTGTTTTTCAAGAATCTGCTTTTACAGAGTTCCTGAGTAAAAAACAGAACAAGCTCCAAGCCTCAACCTATCTTAAGGACAGAGTCACATCTCCTGTGATAGGAAACCAACTCTTGAATTTTGACATCCTGCCACCACTTTTATTACCAGCAGATAGCCATCACTAATTTTTTTCTCTTTGTCCCCTTAAAAATCAGCAAGCCACTTGACCTCCTCTTATTTCTCATACAGCATGCTGCGTAGCTTACATAGCTCCATTAGCACTTATCACATCACATACGGAACAATTTTCTTCTCTAACATACCAAACTGTGAACTCTTTAAGGATAGAAATAGTCTTCCGTATTCCATAGACATCATTGACATGTACCAATCATAAAAAATTATTTCTCCCCCACATCAGTTCCTCTTTTGTTAGTGAAGGAATGAATAAGTGAATGAATTATCAACCAGTTTCTATCCTCTCTTCTTTTGGCTTCCAAGACATGACACTCAAAGTTTTTCTTCCTATCTTATGAGTAACTTCTTAAGAATGGCCCAGGCATCAGTCCTTTGTCCCCCTCTCTTCTCCATCTTCACTCATTCCCTTGGTGTTCTCACTCTGGCTTATAACTTTCAGTATGATTCACATACTGATAACTCTCAAATTTTTACCTCCCTCTGAAATCCACATCTTTGCTTTCTTAGCATACCTAATAGGTGTCACACTGTTAATGTGTCCAATCCCCTCTAAACTTGCTTCACCCATCCTACCTCAATTAATGTTATACCTCTATCCAGTTGTTCAGGCCAGAAATGTAGGAGTCTCTTTTTTCTTATATCTACATCCAACCCATCAAGGAAATCGTATTACTCTTATTTTCAAATTATCTCCAGAAACTATTTAAAATTGCAATTTGCCTCTAACACACACTTCCAAACTCCTAAACCAAGCTCTCTTTTTTTCTTGGTATTTATTACTTTTTAATAGCATATTACTTATTTATTATATTTATTGTTTATCTCTCCTATTCCAGAGATTTTGTTGTTGTTGTTGTTTTATGTATCCCAAGCACCCAGAACAGCATGCAACACAATGAGAGTACTCAAATATTTGTCAAATGAATAAAGAAAATAATGTTTGAAATAGCTGTATAGTTAATGTATGAAGCATTATGAAGAAAGCATCCAAAGTACTGTAACAGGATAATTAGGGGATCCTAATTTCCTAAGAAATACCTGAGAGCTGGGAAATGAGCAGGAGTTAGAGTGAGCAAACGGCAATTGTAAAAGGGAGTGGAAAGAAGAACTAACAGATGTGTTCTCAGCCAAAATGCAAGAA